AGTTCATCAGAATCCATTTTGGTGCCACGGGGAAACTGGCTTCTGCAGACATTGAAACATGTAAGTGGCCCTCCTGGCCTCATCCTTTGCCTTCCACCTTCCTCAGTTCTTGCTCTAACTCTGTCCTACCATCCTTGCCAGATCTGCTGGAGAAGTCCAGAGTCACTTTCCAGCTCAAGGCAGAAAGAAGCTACCACATATTCTATCAGATCATGTCCAACAAGAAGCCAGAGCTCATTGGTAGGCAAGATCACTAACTGCTACAGACAAAGCTCATGGAACAACATTTAACTCTGTATGTGCTAACTACCATTGATCTGTATGCGGTTTGCCCTTCTTTCCAGAGATGTTACTGATCACCACCAACCCATATGACTATCTGTATGTGAGTCAAGGTGAGATCACGGTTCCCAGCATTAATGACCAGGAAGAGCTGATGGCCACAGATGTAAGTAATACACTGAAGTTATCTTAGGCAGACTCTTACCTTTACCAGGCATGCTACTTACTCTCATGATTCTTTTGTTAGACTGCCATTGACATCCTGGGCTTCACTCCTGATGAGAAGACAGCCATCTATAAGCTGACAGGGGCTGTCATGCATTATGGCAACCTGAAGTTTAAGCAGAAGCAACGTGAGGAGCAGGCAGAGCCGGACGGCACAGAAGGTACCAGCAAAACCTATACTGGAGCATAGTATAGACCAGAGCACTCATCAACACAGGCAGTAAAATTAATGGTCAGAATCATTGACCTAGCCTGCCAAGAAGCCAGAATCCTGAAACTGCTCCTCTTTGAGGCTGAAGACAAGTCAGAGTGCTTGAATTGAGCATTGTGCTACTTCATTATACATGGGGTTGCTAAAAAGGAATATCACTTAATGCTGCATCTGTGGCTTGTATGTTCTGCATTTTCCGTAGAGTCTCAACATGTCTCAACACATCCATGCTTGAAAAATAGGCATTTAAAGATATGTCTATCACATTTGCTTTGCCTATAATTGTTCACAGCTGCATTCCTTTAAAAGTTTAGGGAAGTATTTTTATGAAAACAGCATTATTTACATGTATTGAAAACATGAACTATCAAGGAGTCTTTTCCTCAGTTGTTTTTTAATGTTTGTGGTTTGAGTTTCTTTTAGAAAAGACAAATGAAAATGGCTGGCAGAAATACAGTTGCAATTAATCTGATAATGATGAACAGTAATAGTAAAATAGGTAAAATAATAACTGATCATTGCATGAATATAACCAAAAGAATTACAGATGAATAGAATAGTATTAGATTACTATATAATTATAAAAATATAACTCTTCAAAAATGAAATAAAATGTAAGTTCCAATTTTGTTCTTGTTTCATACCTTATTTTTTCTATTGATAAATGTACATTAAATAGTTATAAATACCACATAAAGTAGAAGCAGCTTAAAATTAGCATCTGTAAATATATATTTATAATGAGGTCTGGGCTTCTTATGTTAATGACTCTGTAAATAACACTGTTACTTGCCATCACCTTTGCTGTGAGAAGACAGGAAGCAAATTGGAAAGTGATGATAGTGTATATCCAGAGCTACAGTGCTTGTATTTTATAGTTGAGTTTCAGATGAAATGAGAGCTCAAAAAGACCTATGAGTGTCTCTTTAGGAGGAAATGCGACCCACTATAAAAGTTGTAGCAGATATGTATTCGTGTTTTTGCTGTAATACTACACTAATCTCTATTTCACTAATGACAGTACAGTTTCACTGACTACAATTTTCAGTACAGTATACTTCAATACCAACCAGTTCCCTTTTCTATCTGTCCAGAAATTTTGACTTGTTTGACCTGCATTCATGGCCCTATGCCCTTTTGTGTCTGGTCATTTGTTTCAAAAACTTACATGTTCATCTTAAAGGCATTTAGAAGAATCTTTACATTTACAAATTGTCTAAACTAAGTGGGAAAAAAATCAGTAAATCAAGAAAAATTACAATATTTTGAAGTATATGACAAATATATGTAGCTTCTGCAGAAATTATTCTGAATGACAAAATAGGTCTACTGGAGAGTTAATCCTGCTGTATGCTTGGTTCCTTAGTTGCTGATAAGGCTGCTTATCTGATGGGTCTGAACTCAGCTGAACTGCTGAAGGCCCTCTGCTACCCACGGGTCAAAGTTGGGAATGAATATGTGACCAAGGGTCAAACCGTGCAGCAGGTAAGAAACAAGTGATGATAGAGAAAAATGACATGAGTTAAAAATTCTGAACTTCCTCTCTTGCTCTGGATGGTAACTTTTCTTTTCTTTTAGGTATACAATTCAGTGGGTGCCTTGGCAAAAGCTGTCTTTGAGAAGATGTTCCTGTGGATGGTTGTTCGTATCAACCAACAGCTGGATACGAAGCAGCCCAGACAGTACTTCATTGGTGTCCTGGACATTGCTGGCTTTGAGATCTTTGATGTAAGGAGAGCATCTTCATACAGGTTTCCTGAAAGGGGCATTAAGAAATGGGAATAGTATTGGGTTGGATTTGTTTGTTTGTTTTTAATTAGGGATTGTCTTTATTTATTGGATAATCCTGACATTCCTGTAGGAATGGCACTCTTCTGGTTCTCATAGTATGTATTATCCCACTAAGGCTGCAGATTTCTAGAGATGTCTATTGTTGCATGCAAAAGTGCAAATTGCATTGAAAAGTGATATAGGGATGTAGAACAGCTGATAGGTAGCAGAACCAGAGTTTGAGGAAGTTAAAATATGCCATCTTGAAGGAAGATTTTTGCAATGCTGAAGCCATTGGGAATGCTCTGAATACTTGTAAATAGATTGACCATATAGACAAATTCAAGCAGATGAAAAGCTGGACTTGGACAAAGCTCTGTAAATCATTTCATAACTCAGAGACACATTAAGAAAGTGCTAGGGTCTGAAAGGGTAGATTAGAGGATGGACTGTGCCAGACACCTGTCCAGTCCCATGACTAGAATTCAGGACCTCAAACATGAGTTAAAAATAAAACCTATTGGAAGATGAAAAGTGTTTCTGAAACGGAACACAAGTAAGTAAATCTCTGCATTTGCAGTTCAACAGCCTGGAGCAACTGTGCATCAACTTCACCAATGAGAAACTGCAACAGTTCTTCAACCACCACATGTTCGTGCTGGAGCAGGAGGAGTACAAGAAGGAAGGAATTGATTGGGAGTTCATTGACTTTGGGATGGACCTGGCTGCCTGCATTGAGCTCATTGAGAAGGTTCTGGGCCCTACACACTTAATAGTTTTCCAGATGTAAAATGTAAAAGAAGTCTTCTGTGCTCAAATTAGACCACTCTAATGCGTGGTATCCACACTTAACGCAGCACTTAACATCATTTTTGCACATACATTTTAATTTGTCTGCTACTACACTGTTCGTGGGATAGTACACATGACCTAAATGGGGCAAAAACGTCAGTCCTAGCCACTGTTCTGGAGTTCATACTCAAACGTGTGTATTTTTTAATGCATGCTGAGTGAGTAAATGCACTGAGCAACTTCTGGTTTAATATATACATAAAGAATTTTTTTTGTCTTCTTTCCAAGAAAAAGCATTAAGGAAGCATAAAGCCTTATGTCAGAATGCTCCTAATTTCATTTCTTTTGCTTTCCGTCTTCAACTATCATGCACATAGTGTATTTCTAGATGCTAGGTCTTTATTACATCACACGTCTGATCTATCAGAAACTTACTGGTGATTTTGCTTTCATATAACTGATGGCATATCCACTAACAAAATGCCAATTCTGGAAGAATATAAGACTACACATTTTGAGGAGGGGTTTTTTATGATTTTTATCTTCCATTCCTCTCTCATATACATTTTGCCTGCTTCTTGCTTCCACACTTTCATTCATCACGTGTTGCTACTTCTTCCAGCCCATGGGCATCTTCTCCATCCTGGAAGAGGAGTGCATGTTCCCCAAGGCAACTGACACCTCTTTCAAGAACAAGCTCTATGACCAACATCTGGGCAAGTCCAACAACTTCCAGAAGCCTAAACCTGCCAAAGGCAAGGCTGAGGCTCACTTCTCGCTGGTGCACTATGCTGGCACAGTGGACTACAACATCAGTGGCTGGCTTGAGAAGAACAAGGATCCCTTGAATGAAAGTGTTGTGGGGCTCTACCAGAAGTCATCCCTGAAGACACTGGCCTTACTCTTCGCCTCTGTTGGTGGCGGGGAAGCAGGTGATTCCTTTTAAATAAGTTGTACTATAATTTAAAAAAAAAAAAATTGCAATAACATTTTGAAATAACATTTAAGATTTAAAAACTGAAAACTCCAAATCTCATCTGACTTTTGGAACTCAGTCACTCAGACTAATAAAGGATATTACATTTCCCTAGAAACCTTAATAGATCTGTAGGTTTAAAGACCAGGCAGCTGTACTACAGCATTAACGTAGACGAGCCAACAAACCAGATTTCTGTAATATGGGGCATTCCCAAATACTTCAAGAACTCAATCAAATGTATCAATGTGCTGCTAAATTTATGCACATCCTTAGATGTGAAGATCCATAAAGACTGCATTTAGTATATTCACTAGGGATGTATTTAAATCCTTAAATATCTTACTATGCAAAGTATTACATTTTATGTTCGCATTTTCTGAACTTCAACTTGAAGACATTAGATTTCATTATGCTATCATCTGAACAAGTCAAGTCTCCCACTGTAACTTTTATGAGTCTCCCTTTGTAACACTGTATACATTTGCAAATTTTGATCATGTTATTATATTTTCTATAATTTAAGATGAGCACAGATTTTTTTTTTCAGATTCTAACCGCATGCTTTTGATGTTCTTCTCTGTTTCAAAAATTATATTATTGTTTAGAGAGTGGTGGTGGTGGCAGCAAGAAGGGTGCCAAGAAGAAGGGTGCTTCCTTCCAAACTGTCTCAGCTGTTTTCCGGGTACAGTAGAATAATTATTATAACTTTCTCATTTTCTGAAAAGAAGATAGAAAATCTAGTTCAGAAAAGTTTTAGATTAATTTCATATGCAAAATCCTTATTGTCAGAAAAAATAAAGGCATGTGCTTCTTAACAAAGGATTCTCATTGAATCCTCAGAAGTATTCTTTCAGAGCTGCATGAAAATTTGATAAAAAAGAAAATACTGCTGATGGTTTTATTGCAGTGTCTTTACTCCATCTATTAGTGATATTGTACACATGACATTCTTAAACCCAAGTCTTTGCTCTTGCTCTTCAAGGAGAATTTAAACAAGCTGATGAGCAATCTGCGAAGCACACATCCTCATTTTGTGCGATGCCTCATTCCTAATGAAACAAAAACACCCGGTAAGTTGTTAAAGTTCAAAGATACAATAAATTTCTTCTTCTCCATGCAGTACAATGAATTAGCAATTCATTATGTCATTTATTAGGTGCCATGGAACATGAGCTGGTGCTGCATCAGTTGCGGTGTAATGGTGTACTGGAAGGGATAAGAATTTGCAGGAAAGGATTCCCCAGCAGAATAGTCTATGCAGACTTCAAGCAAAGGTCAGATTCCAAATCATCCACCCTCCGCCATATCCACAAATACTGAATAACTTGCATTTCCTTATTATTTTAACTACCGTGGGAGTTACAAGAGGAGTTTATTGTACCTACATTTTAGGCATAAAAAGGTCAATGGTCAAAGTTAGTCATCAGGTTTCTTTCTATAGCTAACTAAAAGAAGAGGAATTTTCAAATTATTTATTCCTGTCCTTGATTCACATTCTGATATGGGATAAGGCATTTTTTAATTAACTATCCAGAAAAGAAGTTGACTAACTCAGACTTATTTAACTTCTAGGCAAGTTAAAGAAGGTAACTTGCAGCCATCAGCAGAGAAATGAGAATAAAGAATCTATAGCATATTCTAGACTAACTTGTTGGAAAACTAAATAAAATTAAAAGATCTCACTTCTTGCTCTGTATCAGCAGTACTCACAGAGTACATACTGCCAATGTTTTGGATGAAGAATGGTTTCTCCTCTCCCTGTATTTTGTTCTTGCACATAAAGTTCAACAAGATGATCTTAATGTCCTTTCCAGCCCTAACTACTCTATGATTCTATTTTGAGATAAGGCATTAGATAACAGGGCATGTGAAATATATCAGTTCCCAATAGAAATCTGTACCCATTCTGTGTCAAGAATTTGTAGATTAAGAAAAGTGCAAATTTTTCTCAAAAATATATGTTTACCCAAGCAAATGTGATTTCTAAAGAATGGAACAGAGTTCAGACTTATTCACCTCTCTTCCTCTCTTGGTCTCCCTTCCAAGAATCTTAACAATGGCATCAGTTGGTACAGGTTTGATTGAGCTTTCAGGAATCTGAATTTCTTTAAATTCTACTTCATCCTATAGGTACAAGGTGCTTAATGCCAGTGCAATCCCAGAGGGACAGTTCATGGACAACAAGAAGGCATCTGAGAAGCTCCTTGGATCCATTGATGTGGACCACACCCAGTACAAATTGGGTCACACAAAGGTACAAATACTGCTTGACTGATGTATTGTTCCTGCTCTACCTGTCAGTGATGTGCAGCAACATTCCCTTTCTCAAGGTGTTCTTCAAAGCTGGGCTGCTGGGACTCCTGGAGGAGATGAGGGATGAGAAGCTGGTACAGCTCATCACCCACACACAAGCCATGTGCCGGGGCTACCTGATGAGACTGGAGTTCAAGAAAATGATGGATAGGAGGTAGATACTTATTTGGCTTGCTGGGCCAATCCTCATGAGATATCAATGACATGAAGAAAATTGAAAATAAGCTTCTTCTCACCAAATCTCATTTACTTATCATTAATTCAGTTTAGCAATATGGATGTATTTGGGAGCATACCCTTGCAGTAGATGAAGAATATAAAGTCCTGATACAGGGGAAACATCACCATTTTTAACTTATATCACCCTTTGTACTAGTTTTTCCTAAATTCAGTAAATGGTTACACTATATGTATGTCCAGAAACCAGACATCTAGTCAAAGCTGATTATTTTAAGTCACCATTACAATCAAAGGTGAAAAAGACATAATTTTAGCACAAGAGAAGTGTACTCTTCCCTTGGATAACTTTCATGAAAGAAATCAAATCAAGTTCTGGAGCTGTTCCATTTTTGACCGTGAAAGCAAGCCAAACATCTTTCAGAAGTGTTCATAAGTACTTCAAAAGTGTTCATAATGTTTGATAATCTGCATCACACTAGGGAGCTTTCCTCAGAGATACATATGTATATATATTAAATATCCTAAATATACTTAAGAAATATATACTTAATAATTTATAATAAATATTTTATATGCACAGTGATATATGAAACTATAAAGTATTGTACATAGAACTTCATGTTATATGTGTCAAGATATAGGATTAAATATGTATCATAAATATAACAATAGATAAAATTTTTATTACCTTTCAGGGAGTCCATCTTCTGCATTCAGTACAATGTTAGGTCCTTCATGAATGTGAAGCACTGGCCCTGGATGAAGCTGTTCTTTAAGATCAAGCCCTTGCTGAAGAGTGCCGAATCTGAGAAGGAGATGGCCAACATGAAGGAAGAGTTTGAGAAAACCAAGGAAGAGCTTGCAAAGTCTGAGGCAAAGAGGAAGGAGATGGAGGAGAAAATGGTGAAACTGGTGCAGGAGAAAAATGATCTGCAGCTCCAAGTACAGGCTGTGAGTATTGTTAATGGTTTTGGCTTGTAATGTTGTCTCTAAAATGATTCCAAGGGTTTCAGTAAGAGGCACATTATCACAAACAGTATCTATTTTTTAAATGTATTTTACAAAATAGCAAGGAAAATCTAGAAATATTAATCAGTTCACAATGAATTATTGAATCTGGCTCCTTATATTTTCAATAAAGAGAAATATCATCACTTTCCAGTGAGCATATATTACGTTTTACATTATGACATTTTAAAATATGTGCGGCACATATGTGCTATATAATTCTTATATATTATAATCTGATCAGTGAAGGTAGTCTAGAGGTTCTATTAACACCTTTTACTTGAACAATCACAAGTGGATTCAGGTGGAGTAGGAGGGTGCGATACTGTCAGGGATTTCTCTAGCAGTTATTGTCCCTGCCTCCTCTGGAAAAACAGTGATGGAAGTGGAGCCCTCCCCTTTTTCCCTGAAATAAAAAAGTAACAAAAATAATCCTCTTAAACTGACTTTTCAAGCAATGATTACAATTCATCTTCCCCATTTTGATGCCTACACTTTTAAAGTCTACATATGAGCTAGTAGCCTCAGATACTCCTTGCTCTTCATCAAGAAATTCATCCTTTTAGAGTATGATACAATTGGTTTAAAGATGTAATATTCTTTTGTTGTTGAATGGACTGTATCTTGATATCATGGCAGATATCTAAATCTACACAACAATATCTAAATCTACACAACACAAACCCCAACCTAGCTGTCTTGTTGTACTTTAAAAAGTCTTCTGCCTGGGTAGTATCATTGCTCTTCACTAGAACTAAGAGGAGAAGAACAAGCAGTATGTAGACAATAAAGATCACTTCTTAATAAATTTCATCTTAAAATGCATGGAAACCCAGGTAATTGATACTACCCTGATATACACGGTTCTCCCTTCCAAACTGTTGTTCTTCACCACAAGGGCTAGAAAAAGGCCTGATTCAACTATTCTCTTTGAAATAGAGATCTTAACACAAAGTTGTCCAAAACCAAAAATTAAATTCATGCTCAGTAAATCTTTTGGAACAGTTTTAATCGTTTTCTCAGCTAAATGTTTCAGGTTTTAAAGACTGTATCCTACAAAATCTGCCTGCATCATAGAATAATAAAATCATTGAACAGTTTGAGTCAGAAGGGACCTTAAAACTCATCTAGTTCCAACCCTCTGCCACGAGCAGGGATGCCTTCGGTTAGATCAGGTTGCTCCAAGCCCTATTCAACCTGGCCTTGAACACTGGCAGGGATGGGGCAGCCACAGCTTCTCTGGGCATCCTGTGCTAGTGTCACACCATGCTCATAATGAAGAATTTTTTCCTAATATGTAGCCTGAATATGTTCCATATTCCTAATATGTAGCCTAATCTAGATGGTCTCTTCAGTAGAAGACTATACCACTTTACAGGCGAGTCAAATGCAACATCAGTAAAACGATAAAAAGTTACAAGGGTAATATTGCTATATATGATATCAGGAAATAAATTAATTTTGGATTTGCATGAGCAGTTAAAGCCTTTTTAAAGAATCCTAAGAGTCTCTACCTATAATGTGATAATATATTAATTTATTTTCTGGGATGGATAAAGTCCAAGCCAAACAGATACTGAACAGTAATGAATTTTAACTAAAAAGGACTTCTTTGAAAATAAGAATTCCTGGTTTGAAAATCAGTAAGAAAAAACACTTATGTGAGAACTACTTTATTTAACTCAATCATGTGTAGGAAGCTGATGCTTTAGCTGATGCAGAGGAAAGATGTGAACAGCTCATCAAAGCAAAAATCCAGTTGGAAGGCAAAATTAAGGAGCTGACAGAGAGAGCAGAAGAGGAAGAAGAGATGAATGCTGAGCTGACAGCCAAAAAGAGAAAACTGGAGGATGAATGCTCAGAGTTGAAGAAAGATATTGATGACCTTGAGTTAACATTGGCCAAGGTTGAGAAGGAAAAACATGCCACTGAAAACAAGGTATGAGGCAGAACCTGTCAGTCATGCTCTAGAAAAAAGATCTGTGCTGTTACAGGACTTCTGTACCTATTTCCTTTGTGTTCACTTCCTCCTTTCTTCTCAAAGGTGAAAAACCTCACAGAGGAGATGGCAGCCCTAGATGAGAATATCACCAAGCTGACAAAAGAGAGGAAAGCCCTCCAAGAGGCCCATCAGCAGACACTGGATGACCTGCAGGCAGAAGAGGACAAAGTCAATACATTGACCAAAGCTAAGACCAAGCTGGAGCAGCAAGTGGATGATGTAAGGGCATAGGCATACAGCAAGAACAAGGCAGGTATGGGGTTAGATCTGGTGGACAGGGTATTCATGGTCTTTCTCATTTCAGCTGGAAGGGTCCCTGGAGCAAGAGAGGAAGCTGCGCATGGACCTTGAGAGAGCCAAGAGGAAACTCGAAGGAGACTTGAAGCTGGCCCAGGACAACATCATGGATTTGGAAAATGATAAGCAGCAACTGGATGAGAAACTCAAGAAGTAAGTGTGGCTGTGGGGCACCTGAGCACTGGCCTGTTGCACTTGTCTTTTTTCTTTCAGCTCTAACATGGTTTTCTTTGCCCAAAGGAAAGACTTTGAAATCAGCCAGATCCAGAGCAAAATTGAGGATGAGCAAACCCTGGGCATGCAATTACAGAAGAAGATTAAAGAATTGCAGGCAAGTTTCTGTTCCTTCTGCTCTCTCATCCATCCGGGTCAGGTAAGAGGAGGGCACGGGTGTGAATGGTCCCTGACGTTCTCCAGGCTCGTATTGAGGAACTGGAGGAGGAAATTGAGGCAGAGCGAACCTCTCGGGCAAAAGCAGAGAAGCATCGGTCTGACCTCTCGAGGGAGCTGGAGGAGATCAGCGAGCGCCTGGAAGAAGCAGGAGGGGCTACAGCAGCTCAGGTCGAGATGAACAAGAAGCGTGAGGCCGAGTTCCAGAAGATGCGTCGTGACCTCGAAGAGGCCACGCTGCAGCACGAAGCCACGGCTGCTGCCCTGCGCAAGAAGCACGCGGACAGCACCGCTGAGCTTGGGGAGCAGATCGACAACCTGCAGCGAGTGAAGCAGAAGCTGGAGAAGGAGAAGAGCGAGCTGAAGATGGAGATCGATGACTTAGCCAGTAACATGGAGTCCATCTCCAAAGCCAAGGTACACAAATACCTTCTAGATATTTCTGCCTCAAAAGAATATTTCTTTGTAGTGATTCAAACATAAGCAAGTATTTATATTTTAACTTAGAAATTTAAGTTAGTCATGCTTAAAAATAAATAGTTTCACTTCATCACTTGAACTGAATTGTATATTTCTGTAGTAGTATAAGACAACCAGAATAATTCATTTGTAGTACCTAACCTAAAGAACTATAGGAACTCATTTCCTGGTTCAAAATATTATGATATGAAATGAAAGGCACTGATTTAGTCACTTCTTTGGTTCTCCTAAAATAGATATTACTTCTACCTTACCCTTTTCTTATCATTCCTTCATTCCTATAATTGGCTTCATTTTGGGCCCTTGAGAAGACTTGAAATTCTCAGTAATTATGTGTTGAAACACCAATCATCTTTCACTCTGTTTTGCATGGAAACAGGCAAATCTGGAAAAGATATGTCGCGCCCTAGAAGATCAGCTCAGTGAGATTAAGACAAAGGAGGAGGAACAACAGCGCACAATTAATGACATAAGTGCTCAGAGAGCTCGGCTACAAACAGAATCTGGTAAGACATTTCTGGGGTTTAAAGAGAACACTGTATATGACATGAGGCTTTAAAAAAAATGGTCAGAAAGATCATGAAGTCTTGCTGGAACCACAGCTGAACATTAACCAGAAATGTGCTCTTGTGACAAATGCAGCCAACAGAATCTCAAGATGCAGGAGAAGCGTTGCCAGAAGGTTAAAAGGGGTGATCCTTATCCCTGCTCGGCACAGTTGAAGGCCCACGTGGGGTGCTGTGTCCTGTGCTAGGCTACCCATACCAGAGAGATACAGGCATCCTGAAGCAGGACCAGTAACATGGACTGGAACAAACAGTGGATGGAACAACCTTCACAGGGGTGTGGTAGAGTCTGATCACTGGAGGTGTCCAAGACCTGACTGGAGAGGGTGACACATAACCACATCTAGGTGCTCTTTCCCATGAAAGGTCTCTTCCAAATGGGACTGTTCTATAATTCTATGACTGGAGTTTCAAAGAAGAATTCATCCACTTCATAACCTAGACTTCATCCTTCTTCCCAGAGACATTCAGGACAGGACAGTGATATACCTGAGCACATACACAGTATAGTACTAATTCTGAAAGCTTGAGGCTTGAAGGGACCATGGGACTTAGTGCAAATATACATTAAGACTAGTCAGATATTGGAAAAAGGGCATGATGTACCTCATTTCTTGCCTCCAAGATAAATACTTCAGCATTCTCAGAGCTATGGACAGGTATAAGCAATTAGAATTCCATGGAAGAAATAAAATGTTGTTAAACTCCAAATATTTTTATATGCATTTAATTATCAAGGTTGACACTTTTCAGTAAGGCATAAAGAAGCTCCTTTACTCATCTGACTTCCCTCAGGGGAATACTCGCGCCAGGTGGAGGAGAAAGATGCTCTGATTTCTCAGCTGTCAAGAGGCAAGCAGGCTTTCACCCAACAGATTGAGGAGCTCAAGAGGCACCTAGAGGAAGAGATCAAGGTGAGAAAGCTTCACAGTCTTCTCCATTGGATTTCTCCTGTCCAGGAGGGGCTTCAGATACATATGAAATTACAGAATGAACAGGAGGGAGAAAAAAAACACTTGGATAATGCAGTCAGCTGTTCTCATATTAGCTTTGCTCTTCCTTCTCAACTGCCTAGTCATTAAG